ACAGGGTTTCCCTGTAGCCCCAGCTGGCCTGGAACTCACTATGTAGACCAGGCTGGCCGCAAACTCACAGAGATCCAAGGAGGCATTTTTAAATTGTAAAGTTGACAACTGTTGGCAGATGTAAGGCCAGGAAGGAAGTTTCACTGATTGCTAGAAGTCCTTACCAAAATAAGAATTTGTGCAAATGCTGTACATAGAGGGTATTATAGAATATTTTATTTTACATTTTGGACTAAGTCCACACTTAGACTGATTATATTACAAAAGGCCTTATCTTAACCTCTGTAGCCCATGCAGACACTAAAAATAATCAGTCCCAGCAGCAGTGAGAATGGTAAGTGACATCCAGCTTACACTAGTCTGGTGTCTTCAGACAGCACATGCATTGGTGTTTAGGGAAGGGTTGTGTGACCGTCCTGTGAGCCTGCTCCGTACCTCCTTATCACTCCTGCAGCCTCGCTCTACCTAACATGGCATCAGGAGACATGGGCAAAGCTGTGCAAAGTTTCAGTTCCACCAGGAAGACTTAGTTGTCCTCACTAACCAGTCCATCTATAAAAGGGTCCTGAGGAGTGACATCTGTGATGAATTCTTGCCACAAGGGGAATGCAAACATTCCTGCAGCTGGACTCCTGGTTAACCAGTTTATAAAAATGGTTATATGTAGGTGGGAAACAACCTCAAAAACAGTGTTTCCAAAAGTCACTGGGTTCAGATTGACTTCCAGACATCTGATACTACCAGCATGCCCTCTCCCACAGTGTTACAAAAGCTACATGTTTTAAATTGGGACAGCCAGCTGCAGAGCATTAAGTTTGTTTCGGAAGTGTCCAGTTTAATTCACAAAAGTATATTGAGCCACAGTCCTCCCATTTGTTGTATTTAAAAGTCCACTCAAGGTCGAGAAGTTTATTTTACAAATTTGGATGACGTGACCCAGAACATGGAGGTAGTGTGTTTTAGCTTTTATGCAGGGATCCCAAACAATCTTCAGTTGGTGTTTTCCTCCAGCAAGCAGTGCTTCTGGATAGAGTTGCCACACATTAGGGTACTCAAGGTAATAGTGAGGCCTGAGTTAGTCCATGGTCTCTGTGATAGATAAGAGAGCTATAAAAGTATTTGTAGCTTAAAAAGAAAAAAGGAAAGGAAAAAATAAAACTATCACTAAGAGGAAAAACATGCGGTTTTAATCTGTATAAAGATCTGTGATCTAGAGAAACTAGCCTATTGGAATTAGTCTCATCTAATGTAGGATGAGTCTGCAAATTAGGAATCCTGAGTCTCTGACTTTCCTGTTTAATGTTGACTTGTGGAATCATTTGAGGCTTTGGGATTTAGTTTTATAATTATTGTTAACAATGAAGAGGTTTTAAACTTTGTATTGGCATGTAACACACATACAGAAGTATACATAAGCATTCAGCTCAGATTTTCACAAACTGAGCACCCCTCTAACACCAGATCATGCACAGAGCAGAGCGTTGCCCACACCCCAGAAGCCAGCCTCATACTCCCTTCCGACTACTTAAATTACTCTCACTACAAGAGTAACCCTGACCTTCACTGCAGAAGGTGTGGGTTACAGGCTGGCTCAGTGGGTAAAGGTGTCTGTTGTCAGGACTGACGACCTGAGTTTCATCCCTGGAACCCACATGATGGAAAGAGAAAACTGACTTTCAAAAGTTGTCCTGCCCCCTGACTCCCCGCCCCCCACCCACAGATGGATAGATGATGAATGAATGAATGTAAAACACTTTAAGTGTGGGTTCGGCAGACTTGTTTCTGTAGTTTACCTAAGCTCCGGCTTCTTTCATTCCTTATTGGGTCTTTGTGTGCTTGTGGATTGTTTCTGTTCATTGTTATATATAACTACATTATGTGGCTAGACTCCAATTATTTAGCCATTTTCTATTTAAGGATATTTGAGTGGTTTTTAGATTTTTGTTTTGTGGTGTTTGAGTATACATTCAAGGTCAAGAAGTTTATTCTGTAAACTTGGCTGACACTGCACAGGATATAAAGGTAGTGTGTTCTGGTGTTTGTGTAAGGATTCTGCATTTGTGGCTATTACTAGTAGTGCTGCTGTGAACATTCTTATACTTTTCTCTTGACAGTTCTGTTGCAAATAAACTTAGGAATGGGGTTATTAGGTCTTGGACTATATATATGTTCAGCTTTCACAGATAATAGCCAAATAGTTTTCCAGTATGGCTATAACTACCTTGTATTTTAGTGTAAAAAATAAGAAAAAAAACTCATGCTCTCATCTTCTGATAATGGCTATGAAAATTGGATCTAACTTTGAAAACACAGTGGAAACCTAGCATGCTACATTGAGACTTAGGCTTGGTTATATGCACCTGTAATCCCAGTCCTTGGTAGGTTGCAGCCAAGAGTTTGAAACTGGCCTAGACTGTGTGTCAGGATAATCTTAAAAAATCAAAAAGGGAGGGGAAAAAAAAGCTCCAATAATACTCCAACAGTAACCATAATCCAAAGACTCAAGTAGAGTAGTCTATGTTTGGACATTAATTTAGGTATTTCTCATAATAAAAATTGAGTTACATCTTTAGAATCTGTTCTGTATGCAAAGCCTACCTACTCTATCAGTGAAATAGCATGGCCCAGTTTTCTGCCTTGGTTCCAAAGTCTAAAGTGTTTCATGTGATCCATTCAGCATCTTCAGTGGCTTTCTTAGGCAATGCATTCTCTCAGGCACACCACTGAGATTAGTCACTTTGCCAATACATAGGCCCCAGGTTTCCAGCTCCGTACTGTTACCTGTCCTGATGAGTTCTGTATCCTATCAACGATTATCTGTTCTAAAATTTATTCTGGAAGTGAGCTTCTTGTGAAACTGCTGGCCACATCCCGTGGTACAGGCAATAAGTCATGTCTTCCCATGGCCTTCTCAACTTCTAAAAGCATTCTTGTAGGAGTGGTTTCAGTCAGAACAATAAAAAGGGATAAGAAAGCAACCACCTACTTATGTGTAAGATGGGATCTGTACGTAGACAGCTGAAAAATTGGAAACCAACTTGTCATGAAGCTGTCTAGCATTTCTTTTCAGATTCATATACTGCCAAGCAACACTTTGGTAAAAAATCCGAATGTGAGCATGCATATAATCTGAAAACTGGACTGAAGTTTAGACCATGGCTCTCACTGCATGGCTGTGCTGGAATCTTGCCATGAATTGGTATTTTGCTCTGTCCTCCCAGTAGCATTGGAGAAGCTGTCATGTCACCTCATTCTGTGAAGTTCTTAATTTGTCTCAGATATTTGTTCAAGGCCACTCTGTTAACCAGGCATACACAAAAAAACAAGAAAGCGTAGTAGTAATGGGTAAAGTGTGATGCTCTCTGGATAAGGAGGGCAGGGAAAGGACCTTTCTCTCTTTCCCCATCTACTTTTACTTTTGTTCAGTCCATTAGCTCACCTGTGTTCCAGCTGTGCTGCAATCCTTCATCATCACTATCATTACCTGATTATAAAGTGTTCAGATAATACGTGTTCTGTATGTTGTTGCTCAGGGCTCTCCATTCAAAAGCGCTGTTCTCATAGTTCACCATGAGTTGTTTCCTTAGACTTGACCTTTACCTGAAGTAACTCAAAAGCCAATCGTAGGTGTTAATACATTCTCCATAGACTATAAGACAAGGTGCTGTCAGAAATGCTTTTATCTATGTAAGCTTAGTGCTTCATGAAAATTAATCATTCCTTGATTCTGGTTGCTGCTATGGGATTTAAAAAATGATGTCATAATGTTTTAAAGTAATGCAGGCATTCAGTTATACTTTTTATTTA